ATTTAGAATGAAAACACCATGAATGCCTTTATTTAACTATGTACAAAACTATGGGAAAAAAAATTGTGATGTTATTCTATAGTGCTTAATTATATTTGAAGTTCCTAATTAAATCACATTCAATTCTTCAAGTCCGTGTACACTTTATATGTATTTTCAAGATTATTCAGTTAATTTAGGTGTCAATTAATTTTTTAAGTTCATGTACACTTATTTATGTTCAAGATAATTCAAAACACACACACACACACACACAGAGGGTTAAAATTCATTATTCAAATTCATGTTTAAACCCTTTTGTCTAGATTAATTTTTCAAGATCATGTGTATATACAGTATTCAATACATGGTAATGGATGTGTTATTAGGCAATTCCAAGCTCATGTATGTTCACTTTAACAACATATCAATTTTGGCCATCTACTATTCCTCTGCGTTGTATAACTTTAGCCCACTCAAAAGAAAAATATACAGATCAAAGGTTGCCTTTTTCATGTAATTGAAGTTTTTAAGAGATGGCCTACGAAGGTAGAAGTGAATCTAGTTTGAAAGAGTTAAAAAAATAAATAAAAAAAAAAAATCCTATAATCTTTTGCTTTATATTGAAAAATTGTAGTTCTGAGTAGATAAGCTCTCAGAATTTGTATTCTTTGTTCATCTTCTGGTTTCTTTTTTGATTATTATTGCTCTCGGTGATAAGGATTAAGGTTTATAACAATATTTTATTTGTCATGTAATGACAGTTCTTTATGAAAATCATAGAATTTCATTCTTATGTAACAACTTCTCCTTTTTCTTTACTTTTTTGAGATTTCAAATGTTACTTACGGATATTTGTGTTCTTAACAATTTCACAAGGTGGAACAAGTTCCCCCTATAGATGAGGAAGGACGGCGAGTTATTGAACGTATGGATGTTGAGAGGTCATAGAAGTGTAATCTTATTTTTTGATGTTTGGATTGGGGTGAAGAAGACAATGAATTAGAGAAGAATATATTTTAATGCTGGTATATTGGATATTTCATGTTACCTTTTAAACGAAGAAATGTTAGAGGTGAAGATGCTTTTTAACTTTGATTAGTGAAAAGTTCCTTTTTAAATCCGAGAAAGATTTATCAATTCCATGGCGGTTAGGATTGTTGCAAAANCGATATTCAGGTGAGTAATTATACCAATCAAACACGTTTAATTGAAAATTCCCAGTACAACAAATTCTAGACAATTCAATTCCCTAAAATTCATTTTCTTTCCACTCAAATTCCATTCTTACAATCAAATACACCCTTAGTGTAGTTGAAAACATAAAATTTTCTTATATTTTTCCTAATATATCCCTACATTTAAAAAATGTTTAAAAAGATTAATTTATATTTGTTGTTAAACAATGTATATTGAATAAGGGTATATTAGAAAACTAAAAATATCTGTACTTTCAAATTTCAATGAGAAAAATGGCCTATAATTAGGAACTGATGAAAAAGAAAATTAAGTATATCTTTATGTGATAGAAGTAGTATAATTGGCTTATTTGCACAAAACGTCCCTACATTTGATCTTTAATGTGCAAAATGTCCTTATTTTTCAATTTTTTTGCATTTTCACCCTTATTTCGACGTTTCATTGTGGAAAACGTCTTTTTCCATCCGCTGTGATTTCCACCGTTAAATACAGTTGGACTCACTTTTAGTTTGAACTCAAAGGATAGAATGGTCAGGCACTTCAAAAATATTTTCTTCCCCATAACTTACGCATGGTTTATCTTCTATCTTCTCTACTATTCACGTCCCGCATACACCCATTTACTTTGTCCCCTTCTCCTTTCATCTAAAATTTCTCCTCTCATAGTAGGCTATTCTTTGCACGCAGTGGAAGGCAAACTGAGAGAATGTATTATTTCGTTGTGGCTCCATTATTTTTTTTATTTTACTGTCCAAAATTTCAAGCTTTGAGTGATCGAGGCTTCCTTGTTATTCTTTTAAGAATTTATTGTTGTTTTCCACAGGATTTGGTGTCGAATCACAATACTTCTTCTGTTTGTTATAGAGCTTGGCGACGAGACACTCACATATGGTATAAACGCTATCCATTCATGATTACTTTTTTCTTTCATTAATTTTGTTGGTTTTTGGAATTAAAGATTGAAACTTGATTGGAATGGGAAAATACCTTCAAAATTGTTAAAGAAATTTTCGAGGATTTGTAGGTATTTCTCTGAAATTACGTGACATTTGTTGGGAGATGAAATTTCTGTGGTTTTGATTAGGTTTTAAGCACTATATGATGTGTAGTTCATTATTGCCTGAGTTGATCAGTGTGCATTTCTTCATGTCAATACCACTCTTTTCATTGTTCATTCCCTCATCTCCATATTCTTTTGCATGCAGGTGCAAATTCAGGCTACTTCACTGTTAAATTTTATCACAGAGGCCAGTTCTATGCTAAGCCAAACAATCTAGTATACGAACATGGATTTGTGCTTTTCTTCAATTTCTTTCATGCCTCATTGTTGCGAAAGGTAATTTGACGAAGTTCTTAATGTGGTTGGTAATGATATGATGTTAGAGTTGTACTACAAAAAAAAAAATAATAATAATAATAATAAGAGTTTAGGGAAAAGGTTGACTAGATTGGAGAGAGAGGAAGATACTAAAGAAATACTTTGGGATAGAGATGGTAATCCAGTGGTGTAGATATATATTGTAGCCCCATTGCAATTACATGCATTGCCATTGCATGCATCGATCTCAAATGTTGATCCACAATACGATGAACTACAAAAATTTGAAGGTTGTTACGTACCTTCTGTAAAAGAAAACAAGGGTGGAGAGCCCGAAATTGATTGGTCAGATCAATTTTTTCATAAGAATGCTGAAGAGTTGTGGTTACATTACAAAGAAACCCTTCAATACCATTATAAAGAAGATCAAAATGTGGGTGATATGGGTCTTGAGTTGCTATGGTTGATTAAGGTGATTCTGTTACTCTGAATGAAAGGAATACTTACAGGATATGACAGGGATAGTTTTCATAGAAATCTAAAACACAGGGATGTTATACACAAAAATTGTCAAAACGTAAAGATGTTTTATGTAAGAGACTTTGAAGCGTTAGGATGTTTTATGCAAACATAGTTTGAACGTTGGGATGTTATATGTAAAACATTGTTTAACGTAGGGACGTTTTGCACGTGTTCAAATTGGGGAAAAACAGATTAACAGCTTCAGCTTTTGATGCAGAATTCTGGGATTGAGATTTGTGATTTTGGATATCGTTTGCTGCAGATAATAATGAGGGATGAGAGCAGGTATGGAAGCCAAAATGAGTCGGCCATAGTGATGATGACCAATAGACTTTCAAAGATGCAGCAGCCATGGTGACAATGATGATGAAAAGCATATTTCAGCCATTTTGTTTGATTAATTTTTTTTTCTTTTCTGAGAATAACTTATTTATGACGGGAAAAAGAGGTTTTTGAACTGGCCTGACCATTTTAATGTTCAAATTTCAAATTAAAAGTGAGTCCAGATGTACATTTAATGGTGGAACTCATAGCAGATGGACATAAGGACATTTCCCATAATGAAACGTTGAAATAATGGTGAAAATGCAAAAAAAAATTTGAAACATAGGAACGTTTTGCACACTAAAAGTCAAACAAATGGACGTTTTGTGCTAATAAGTCTTATTAATTTTTCTTCCTTGCTAAGGGCTTATTATTTGAGTATCTATAGTTAATTGTCCCAATGATCACTGAACTTATGTTTATATCTTTAATTGCTCATTGAAATTTAAGATATCGAATTTTGATTACTAAACTTATGAAAAAGTTGGACGTTACTCACTACGTTAACATCATTTCCACCTTTTAAATGGAATTAGTGACATGGCTAATGGAATATACATGTGGCGCCTCGTCACGCCATTAACAAATTATCACGTCTTCGATTGCTCACCAAACTTTGAAAAATATCTTCAAGCTCACTAAATTTTGAAAAACGTATTAGATTGCTCAATAAAGTTTGAAAAACGTATTCGATTGCTCGTTGAACTTTGAAGCAACGAATTTTGGCCATTAAACTTATAAAAATGATATCAACTTATAGTTCGTTAAAAAATATGTAGCGCAATCATACTGATCGCGTAAAAGTAATTAATAAAGTGGACAAACGAGTTCAAGGTGTCAATCTCAGGAGAAATGATTACTAAATTACACAACAGTTAAATTTAATTTTAATATTTTTTGTAGATTTAAAATTATTTTTATCATTTAAAATATTCAAATTGATTGTATGTTTTTCGTTGCTAAAATTATATTAACATTTAGCCTTTGCAAACAAAAATACAATCAATTTAAATAAATTAATTTCATTCACTTTTGGTGAGCTTGAAGATCCAAATTTTAATTAAATTTATTGTATGTTTTAGTTGTGAAATCCATTTAATTAAATTTATTGTGTTTCATTGCAAAATTCAAATATTAATTTAATTCTAATAATGAAATAATAATACATTTGAATTTTTCAAATTATAAAAGTATCTTTAAATTCTACAAATATATTTTTATTAAATTTAACTGTTATGTAATTGAGTTATCATTTTTTGTGGAATCGACAATTCAAATTTGTTGATAAACTTTATTACTTTTATGCGACTTGTATAATTGCGTTGTATAGCTTTTAACGAACAATAGGTTAAAGTCATTTTTATAAATTTAGTAGTCAAAATTCGATTATCTCAAAGTTCGATGAGCAACCACAGACCTTTTTCAAAGTTTAATAAACAATCGAAAACATTTTTCAAAATTTGATGAACAATCGAAGACATAACAATTTATTAATGGAGTGATGAAACGCCACATATATATTAATATTCCGAACGTTAAGGTAGTAACTAATATTGAAGTTTTGATAATTTTAATCGTCAAAACTTGAGATCGAAAATTTCAGATACATGAATACTGTGACCACTGGGATTCGGGTGTACATTATCTACTATTTATTAACCACATTAATAGTAATAATTCTTCCTTGCGGCCCCAAAGTCGACCCTAGGTCTCTCAAACGCTCACGGCACTCGCGATTCCCAAATCTTTGAATGTTTTTCAAATTAAATTATTGCAGTAGTTCATAAATTCTGTTTCCTTCACTTTCTTCCACTATAGTTCTTGACCTTTTTCTTTCTTATATGATATTTGCCTTCCTTTTTTAGTAAAACTAAATTTTGTGATAGGAAATAGATAAAAATGGGGAAAAATCAAGCTTACAAAGCGATGCAGAGAGCTCGGCTTGGCTCCAGCTCTGCTGGCCCTGAAGATGTCGAAGATGGCATGGTTCGTACCCTTTCATAATATTGTTTCTGCAAATATTTGTATTATAATTCGTATTGGGGTTTGCGAATTTTTTGGGTAATTTTGTAAGACTAGATTTTTATTCGAAAAGGGCGGGGAGTAGATGGAAATGATTAGTAGTTTCATAATTTACTGAAAGTTAACTAAAATACGAATAAATAGAGTAATCTTTTTAATTACTGTCAATAGGGAGCTTGAATTAAGGCCTCATTTGATTTTATAGGATTAAAAATTGTTCAAATCAAGGATTAATGAAAACTTCAAATGAGAATTGACTTATGGCTCAATTTTAGTTTGGGCATCTTTGCTCACTCTTCAGTCTGTATTTGGAATTTCTGTAACAAGGGAGTTATGTGAAAAGAACTGTATATATTTATTAATTGTTGCATCCTAGGAAATTGAAATTCTGGTGCCACCAGTGGAAACTTTGGACTTTTACAACAATTATAAAGGGAACATTGTTAGGGTGCTGACAATAGTTATGTATACGTTTGTAACATTTTGAATTAAAAATTTATGGATCTCTTAGATTTTAATATGAATTTCAACTATGTGGAAAAACTCCGTAAAATTTATGACTTTTATGAACATTGTAGAAACTGGGTTTATTTCATCAGTTAAGGTTGTTCTGCTTTCTGACTATTACTGTTTCAGAAGTGATTGTTGTCTTACAAGGAGAAGACATAAATGAGATGAACCCTTCTATTATTTCTTATAAGGTCCAAAAAGCCAATTTTTGACTTTCATTTACCATTAACAATATACCTCATCGTTTTGGGGTTACCGGGCTCTTTGGTTAGAGTTTCTTTTCTATATGATACCTTTGACTGAAAGGACGAGTTTTATTGTAGATTTTTATATGTATCAGCATTTTTTACATAGAAGTATGACACTGAACTTATCTTGGCACTTGATGTTGAATTCCATTTAGTCTTTGATAACTTTTAGAATAGGGAGGATGTGTATTCTTTTGCTGTACTTCTTCTGATGAGGACAGTCGCAGGTGGACAGTTCATTTCATTCACCAGAATGGCATGCTGCTCGTTTGGCAAGTCTCAAAACATCCCATACGGTTACTTGGGAGGAGTACAAAAGGAAGCAAAAGGTGATTTATGCGACTCTATATTATTTGTTGCCTTCCAGAAAATCATTTGAGGGATTCCCTGAAATGATCTTATTTACTCCTTAATTTTGTCACCTTAACAATGTTGACATATTGAAGCATTACTGCAATTTTATGGGGAACGAACAGGTTAGCACAAATATTATTAGAGTGACAGGAAATTAGAATTGAAAGATAACAGTGTTGTCCTATTTTATTAGGTAGTAGTATCACCTTACCTTGGAGGGTATTGCTGCTTCAATTTTTCCTCACAAAACTTTAAAGGGGTCCTCAATATGGAAGTTTGGATAATTACAAATTGCATCTAATGAAGAGTGGTCCTGGATGTAGAAAGTGCTCTTTGATGTGAGTAATTCAAGTTATATTTTTAATAGTTGTTAAGTAAGAAATTAGATACAAAACATTTATCATTAAGTGACCAACTCTCCAAGTGTTCAAGTTGTTGGTTTTATGTTTAATTATAATCCTTACCTTGCTACTAAAGCTTGAACGATGCTTATCATGAATGTAGCGATAACCCATTGCCAACCAACAATCAAAAATGATTTGGTCACTGCTTGTTCCGGCATATATGCTCCTCTAAACACGTTCTATGATATCTTCAAGCTATACCTTCCCCTGAATTAGCTTTTATTTTGGCTCATCGTGTATTTGTAAGAGTGTCAAAGTGAACCATTTGCCTGTTGATAATATTCATAAGACTGAAAGTAACTCCCTCCACCTTGCAAAAGAGCCTTTTTTGGCACCGCTTCTTTATGCCAGAAAACGCATTGGTTCATGTCTTCAACTTTGTCTATCATTTATTGCTAGATAATCATTTAGTGAAAAGACAATGACATTCATTTTTGGCATAGAATTAGCAAGACTAATATTGTTGTGCTAATATAGGAAACATGAGTGGAACTTTTGTCAAATGAAGCTCTTATCTTGGAAATGTGACTTAGATGAGTTTTTTTTGTCCGTTGGACAACTAAGATATATGATTCTAAACAATTGAATCTGCCTTATTAATTCTAAACTATTTACATGTTTTGTATGTACGAGGCAAGTCTGGAAGCATGTTATGCTAACCGTAAACTCTAAGAACTTTATAAATGACTCCTAAAGATTTGCCAGGAGCATTATCTGCCCAAAAGAAGTGTCTTCTACAAAAAAATAATATTTTATATTCTGGACCTCTACTCTTGTGAATTTCTGCTATTCCCTGATGTCCACTGTATGGTCAACATAAGGCGAGAGTTGCAATTTCTCATCCCTTCATTTGGTTTATGTTCTTTCATGTTGCTTACCATGCTTAGTCAAAGAATCTACAGTTCTTGGCACGATAATTGGGACATTATGTGCTCATAATTCTTAAATTTTGAGGGAGCCTTTCATTCCAAACGGCTTACTGGGAAAATTTTAAAAATATCTTCGTCATGTGCTGCATTAGCGAATTTAACTGAAAAATCTACCACTACCTTGGCAGCTCATCGGAATTTATGTGTTATGATTTTTATCCCATATTTGACAGATTCTTTAGTTTGAGATGTTTGACAAAGCTTTTTCATTTTTTGGGGTGTGTATATGTCCAACTCTAATGTGCTTAATTGCTAGGAAGAAGAAATGAGAAAGGGGGAGTTGGAAGCAGATAAAGATAAAATGATGAGAGAATATAGGGCTCAGCTAGATGCTGAAAGGGCACGTAAGCTTGCCCAAGGAAGAAACTACTCGAGTAGTAAATCTACTCGCAAAAAGGGTAATGCGTTGAATTCTTTCAGAGTCAAAATTTTTTATTGTAACTCCAATGACATACTATCTTATGTGTTCTTGCAGATAAGAAGGAAAAGGATTCAAGAAAACACAGCAGCAAGAAGCGAAAGGTACACTCAGTTTTCTCTTCTGTATAAGTGCTACTCATGTTCTTCTTAATCGAATAATTTAAGATATATGATCAAGATTTTACATTTGTATCAGTTGATTTTATCAGTAGTTAAGTTCAATTCATTGATTCATTGTTACTTTAATCAGTTGGGTATACGGCAATGAATTATTGTTGCAGGCTAGGGGTTCTGGATGGAGATAGAATCATTCCATTAGGAGGATGGGTAGTGAGTTACATCTATTCTAAGGATGGGAGGGGCGGGGGTATCTGTTTATGACATCATTAGGTAGTAATCTTTTAGGATTCAAGCAGTTAGAATAGGGAATTGTGGAAGATTAATGAGGTGCAGTAAATAAACCACTGAATGCTAGCTGAAATAATTAGGAATGTGGAATACTCTTTGTTGATTAAGGGAAATGACAGTGATGTGAAGAAAACACATAGCCGTTCGAGAGGGCTAATCTCTCCACTCAAACTCTGCCCCCCCTCTCCCCCTTGATTCCTCCTATTCCCTTTTATAAACCTCTAGCAACTTATTCTGTTAAATGAGTTCAGTTCATCTACCAAAATTGGTTGCAGCCACTTGCTGCTTCCTGCCAGTTGGTTCTCCTGTCTTCTTGATCCTGCTAGAATAGGTATATCTAATAGGAGGCGTATCATAATCTTACTAAATACTCTTTCCTAGTTTCTTCTCTGATGCCCCAATGGCACTTTCTAACTTTTATCGATTTCTTTTCAAGTCTAACCATCAGAATACACGTTTAATCTAATTGCTAAATTTACTTTAGGATTTTGGTCATTGTTGCATACTTCTCGTTGTTTCATTAAATGCATATTGATTGTTCAGATTATTCGAAAATTATTAAACTACAATATTATTGATAGGTAATACGTCTATTGCATGGCTGACTCCTTGACGATAAATTGTTAAAATCAAGATAAGTATTTCTTCTGCACCTTAAAGGAATAGCTTTAGCAACATCAAAATATGGGCTCGAACCAAAGTGGATTATTCTTCATCTCATGAGATGTTTGTATGTTGTCTAAATTGAACCATCCTGGTTGTTTTATGTACACGATGACCAACTTCAGATAATTTTATAATCACTCATAGAGAATTTTGTAGATCAATATAGCAAAGAGAAGAGATTCAATTCAAAATATGATTTTAATCTTATTTCTGACATACGCTGGTTACTTAAAATTTCTGTCCATGTGAAATTCATTACAAGTTATTCATTAACAATTGGAATGGTTACATTTTAAACAGTTGGGTCTGTTGATTTAGATGCCAGCAAACTCTAGTAGTCTTAATATACAAAAAATTGCAGGGGAAAATACATAGCAGCCGTTGTATTTTTGATCAAGTTCTTTAGGATAGATAATGACACTTTTTATGTTGTTGCAATAGCTCTCCAGTAGTAGTAATATTTCATTCATTGTTTACATTATCTTATGACGAGTCTAAACTATATTTTGGTACTTAATTTTAGCGTTCAAGGAAATCTTCCGATTCTGGCTCTTCAAGTTCAATGTCAGAAACTTCGAGCAGTGATGATGAAGAGAGAGGATCTAGGAGATCGAAATCTAAGAGGAGGAAAGGAAAAAAGCACCTCTCAAAATCGAAGCGGGCAAAGAGTGATAATGAAGAGCATGATGGGCCTTTACCCCTTTCTAGATTTTTTGGGAAAACTTGAAAAGCTGATTATGTTTCGCTCGTCCTGTATTAGCGATCTTTCTCTGCATCAGCATCTGAGGTAGATTTTTTCTTCATCTCTTCGACTCCGAGGTTTTTATTTTTGTGTTTTGCTCTCTGGGAAATTTTTGAAGGCTCCTTTATGTATACTATTTTGAATTATGATGTGACATTCATCTCATTGCTATGTAGTGAATTTTCTAAATGCTCTGTAGAAATTCAAAAGGATAAGCTATTAAGCACGACACTCCTACCGATATAGCGTGGCTGTGTTACTTACACCTATTGGAGGCTCACTGTGGAAACTCGAGAACAGTCTGTTTTTATATGTTCTTTTAAATTTTCGACGTCTTTTGTACCTCCATCGTGTGACGGGCCATGTGATATGGTGTGTTCGATATTGTTCTTGTTCTTTATAGTTCTGATATATGGGGGCTCTTGTCCTTGACACATCAAGGTATGCTCCATTTTGTATATTTAGAATATAGAACTAGAAAATTTTCTAGTTATTCAAATATTGGTTAGTCTCAAAATAATGCGAGAAAATGGTTTAATCTAAGCCTTCGTTTGAGCCACATTATTCTAAAAATGAGAATGAAAAATATAGTCGTTATGGGCCTCACACAAGAAATAAGAAGTCAAATATGATTGCTTGATGTAATGGATAACGGTCATATTTTTCATTTTAATAAGAAAATAATGGAGATCAAATAGAATCGTTTGGTACCCATTTTTTTAAAATGTATTTTTCTCTCTTTTTTTTTTCAACCACATATTCTTCAATAAAACAACATTAGACGTAAATAAAAAAAAATTTCTTCTTTTTTAATTACACATTTTTCATCAATTTACTATTTCAAAATACATTTTTACATAAAAATAGTTACCAAACACCCTAAGAGTTTAAATATGGTTTAATTCAGGTTTCATGTGTACCCTTCTTAAGAAACAGTTTTAAATCAAGCAAATTGTTGTACATTGGTTTTATTTTTTAACTACGATTTGAAATCCAATACGACCGTTTAAAAATAAATAAATAAAAGAAATAAGGAATCTAAAAATTCTGCCATAAGTTGGTCCAAATTGCATTTGAGTCACATTGATAAATTATCCAAACATTTAAAATAAGATATAATTATTAAAATTTTAATCTAAATCCGTCCTGGTTGTTGGGTTGTCGATCGGTTCAAGTGGTCGTTGATCAGGTCTTTGGTTTAATGATCAGCTGATGTTAAGTCTGATTTGTTGGGTTTTCGATCGAATCGTCAGAACAGATTTGAGTTTAATAACTATTTATTTGAAATTTAAACCTATAATTTAATTATTTTACATCATGATTGTTTATATTAGATCAGAATTTGTAAGCAATTTTTTGTGTGTATTTATCTTTCATTGCCGTGTCCCTACTATATAAAAAGGAGAATGTGAAGTTATTGTAAAAGTAAACAGTGAGTTAATTCATTTTGTCTTACTGTAGTATTTTTAACTTTTTTTTTTATTTATAAGTGGGGGAGCAAAAACGACGCCATTTGCCTTACTTGATATAAATTTTGTTATACAATAAGAAAATACAATCTAAATTTACTGCAACACACAACTTTTCATACCTATCACCAAAAATTTTAAGTAATATTTAGATATATTTAATTTAAAAAATTAGATATTAATAAAAAGATTACTATAAAATTAAATATCGTTTGGAATTATTAAATAATAAAAATACTAATAATATAAGATAGAAAATATTTCTTAGTAAAAAGTTACTTGTGAGTAAAAAAAATTAAAGAGAAAGTTATTAAAAAGAATTTTAAGTTGAAAAAAAATTTATTTATAATGTAAACAAAAACGAAAAAAAGAAGAAGTAAATCTCCGTGCACGGACTGTGTCTCCATGCACGTCTCCATGTGGAGACAATTTTTTTCATTTATTTATTATTTTTTTTACATTATAATTTTTTTTAATTTAAGATTCTTTTTAATTCTTTTCTCTTTGTAATATCTTATTATATAGTGTAGCAACTTTCCACACCTCCCACCAAGTTAGCTTAAAATTTAAAGTAATATTTAGCTATATTTAATTTTTTAAATTAAATATTAATAAAAAGGTTACTATAAAATTAAATATTGTTTGGAATTATTAAAAAATAAAAATACGAATAATAAGACAAAATATTTCTATAAAATGTAAGAAGTTACCTATAAGTAAAAAATTGAAGAGAAGAATTTCAAATTGAAAAAAATATATATTTATAACGTAAAAAACACAAATATATATATTAAAAAAAGTCTTTTCGTGCACGGAGACTCAATGTCTCCAGGCACAGAAAAATGTCTCTGTGCATGGAGACATTGTATCCATGCAAAGTCTCCGTGCACGGAGAGAATATATATATAAATATTTTTTTAATTTAAAATTCTTTTTAATTCTTTTCTTTTTATAATAAAATTTAATTTTTCAATTTTTTCCCTACCATATAAAAAAGTGAATGGGAAGTCACTATAGCAACGAGCCATTTTCACTCCATGTGGCCTTTTTTTCCTTGATCTACTTTCAAGTTTTTTTTTTTTTTTGTTTTTACTTTTACGTATGAATTTCATTTTTAATTTTTTTTCCTCCTGCTGTGGAGAAAACGACGTCGTTTTGTCTTAACTTATGGCAAAACGAAGACATTTTACTCCACAAGAATCTGACATGGTACATTTTCTCCATTTTTATACGCTATCGATCATGCCTTTTCAAATCCACCATTTTTGCTTCTTCTTATCCACACACACTTCCCACTCTCTCCTTTCTCCTCAAATACTTGGTCTCTATTATGCTTGACCCTTAAAAAAATTCTTATTTTGAGTCAATTTGAATTTCAGGTAATCCATGGTTAGATTCTTCAACCTTTCATTTTCTTTTTCTGTATATTCCTATTTTTCGTATAAACTTTTTTTTTTCAATTTTTTCCTTGATATTTAGAACTTCAATATTTGAAGCTGATTTTTCCCAACGGGTAAGTTTGCTTCCTTTTTTTCCTTCTTTAATTCTTTGTTTGTATTATTTTTTTAAATGATGATTTATGTGGCTTCCAAACTGTTCTTCTTTGTTTTTTTATTTACAGCTTAGATCTATTTTGGTTTTTCTATTAGTTGACTGGATTTCTAGGGTTTCAACGTGTTGTTTGTTGTTTGTAATTTTGTGTTATTTTCGTTCTAGGTTAGATCTGAAGATTTAGGATTTGTGTCCTTTTGTCTTCTTCTTCTTCTTCATCATTTTTTTTATGCTTATTATCTTTGTTTTGAAATTTAATTTTTAAAGATGTTATCTTTGTTGTTGGTAACCTCAAGATTTACTTTTCGAATGTGTTTTCTTACTGTTAAGTGCGGAGCGGATAACTACTGAAAGCATCTAAGTAGTAAGCCCACCCCAAGATGAGTGCTCTCCTATTCCGACTTCCCCAGAGCTTCCGGTAGCACAGCCGAGACAGCGACGGGTTCTCTGCCCCTGCGGGGATGGAGCGACAGAAGTTTTGAGAATTCAAGAGAAGGTCACGACGAGACGAGCCGTTTATCATTACGATAGGTGTCAAGTGGAAGTGCAGTGATGTATGCAGCTGAGGCATTCTAACAGACCGGTAGACTTGAACCTTGTTCCTACATGACCTGATCAATGGGTCGGTCAAATCGTCTGCAGGTACATAAACTGCTTGAATAGAAGTTATGGACCCTTCTTTGGTAGAAGTAATTCTTTCTTGTAAAGTACCCATTTCGGTACTCAGGTTAGGTTGATAACCGACAGTGGAAGGCATTCTACCCAATAAGGCCGATACTTCGGATCCTGCTTGGACGAAACGGAAGATATTGTCGATAAATAGAAGTACGTCTTGTTCATTAACATCTCGAAAATATTCCGCCATAGTTAGGGCAGTCAAACCAACTCTCATGCGAGCTCCAGGCGCTTCATTCATCTGGCCGTAAACTAGAGCCACTTTTGATTCTGTAATATCAAAAATTATTATTGGTCTTCTATATTTTCTTTTTCTGTGTATTCCTATTTTCTACATAAACTAATTTGTTTTATTTATTTTCAATTTTTTCCTTGGTATTTAGGATTTCAATATTTGAAGCTGATTTTTCCCAATGGGTAAGCTTGTTTCCTTTATTTCCTTCTTTAGTTCTTTGTTTGTATTATTTTTTTAAATGATGGTTTATATGGCTTCCAAACTGTTATTCTTTGTTTTTTCATTTACTGTTTAGATTTATTTTGGTTTTCTATTAGCTGACTGGATATCTAGGATTTCAACATGTTATTTATTTTTTGTAATTTTGTGTTATTTTCGTTCTAGGTTAGATTTGAAGATTTAGGATTTCAGTGTCATTTTATCTTTTTCTTCTTCATTTTTTTCTTACGCTTATTGTCTTTGTTTTGAAATTTACTTTTTAAAGATGTTATTTTTATTCTTGGTAACCTCAAGATTTACTCTTCGAATATATTTTCTTATTATTAAAGTGTTAAAAGTTCAAAAATTATTTTTGGTCTTCTATATTTGAGCTGAAAATTTAGGTTTTGAAGGTTTTTCTTTTCTCTTTGTTGAAGATTTACTATTCTAATTTGTTATTTGATTAGTTATTAGTTGATGATGAATAGTAAGTGTTCGAATATGTTATTTTGTTCTCTGTGAACTGTATTGTTTCCATTTGAAGTTAAAGCTGAAAGTTTAGGATTTTAATGTTCTTGTGGCTTTATTTTTTAGACTTATTGTCTTTGCTGATTTTGTTGTTGGTGACCTCAAGATTTAGTCTTGGAAGGCATTTTCTTGTTGTTGAAGTGTTGGTAGTTCGAAAATGCTTTTTAATCTTCTATTCTTGAGCTAGAAATTAGGTTTTGAAGGTTTTTTTTTCTCTATTTTTTTGTTGAAAATTTACAGTGTCAATCTATTATTTGTTTTTTTATTAGTTGATGATGAAGAGTAAAGGTTCGAATGTGTTAATTTTTTCTCTATGACTTGTATTATTTTTGTTTGAAGTTAAAGCTAAATATTTAGAATTTTTATGTCCTTGTGGTTTCATTTCTTGTACTTATTGTGTTTGATCTCTCGGCGTATTCATTCATTTCTTGATTGCCTAAAAATTTGTGTTTATGCTGATTTCTTTGTCTTCCAAGTGCATTTTATCTATAGAAACATACGTGCAACTCATTGTCTTGGTATTCATTTTCTATGGTCGAAAAATTTCATGCCATCTCATGATTTCTATGCCCAAAGTGTCTACAAGTGCATCTTTTCATCTCCTATTTCATATTTAAGTTCAAGATTTACCATTTAAACCTGTTATTTTTCTGTGAAGTTGAGAATTAATCTTTGAAGGCAGTTGAGACAGAAAAATTAATTGGTAAGTGTGACAAAAGTGAAGAATCTGGAATACTTTATCCAAAGGTAAGTAAAATTTAAATTCAATTAGAAATCTGAATATTTTTTTGACATGTATTTTTATGCATTTTTTCATTTATGCCTATGAGATTATGAGAGTAACGCATCTTTTTATAGTTTCTTTTAAGCTCAAGAATTCTATCTTAGATAATGAAGATTTCTTATAGCAGGTTTGACCTATAACTTAATGCTAGTTTTTTATGACAATGCTAAGACTTGTCTTGAGTCCATTAATATGTATATTATAGTATTGCATATGTTGAGTGATATTTCGCATTACATTGTTGAAATTTAATTCAGGGTCATCTATGTCATTTGATATTGTTGTAGTTGATATGCTAACATTTTAAAATTTGTCTCGCTGCTTCTTGATAGTGTTGTTTAGTCCGTTATTGCATTTTTTACTTCATGATTCTTCACGTTTTAAGAAAAATTCTGGATTTTGGTGCCTTTATTTTATCTGTTTCACCGTGGGTTTGAGAAAATGATGGTTCTGACCTATTAATTTCATGATGTTTATTGACATAGTTGTCACAATTCTTCTTAGTAACTCAAGTTCTTGAAATTCTTCAGTTTGATGTAACTATATTTGACAATTCGTTAATCCATTTTTTATATTTACAGTCTTTATTTTTGGATTGTGGTCCGTGATCATCGATGTTTTGACAAATTATACACTTGATTCTGTTCAGTTTATCAAGTGGTCACCTACTTCCTCTCCACGTGTCTTGCTTATAGCTAATTTTCATGGCTGGATTACCATATGGACTCAACCTTCTCAAGTATGCTAGCCCTGTCGGGCTTGTTGAATTATGAAACTATAACATTCTCGCTTCTCAAAGATCTTACTGATTTGATACTAAAATACTTAGATGAGACAATACTTATTCTCGGTCACAATTTTTTCACATATGGTATATGTTGAGATACTCTTCTTCCATGTTTTTATTGAGCTCACATTTTTTTTATTCATTCAGGGTCCTATTCTATCAAATGAATCGTTAATCTATGAACCGTGTAAAAAAATCAATATGGAGGAAAATACAAACTTGTTTTACTTCTTTAGCAACTCACTCAACCATGTACATTGTGCAGATAAACTGAAGAACACAAAATAATTGGTTGTGAGGAAGATTAAAAACGAAGAATAAGACAAGTGGTGAATAAACTCCAGATAGTTTTCATCGAAGAATTTTATTGCACATTTCATTCAAGATTAGTAGAAAATTATGCTACAGCATTGATACTATTGATAATGTGGTAAACCTTTGGAAGTTCGTGAGGAACAATGTTATCATAGATCTATCGTGAAAATATTTATAAATTAACATGAACATTCTAGTGCCAAAATCAAATTATTGTTCTGACTTTCGAATTCCAACATCATGCACTCCGGTGATTATTGTCCCAAGGTTAGAGAGTTGTACCAGTATTGACAAATTTTGGATAATATAAATTCTACATATTTCACACTAATAATAACATAATAAATACAATGCTTGTACAACGCACGAGACAAAGACTAGTCTTAGATAAAAGGAAAATGCCTATGTCCCAATTGAGCCTTTTGAACATTGAAAGGTGGAGTACAATAGGCCAAATGTGCTTAGAATACTTCTCTCTTGATGCTCCTCAGTCGTCGTTGCCCAAAGTGCAAACGTATGGCAATTTCGTACTAGGAAATATTCATTTCAGTTTCATAATAAAGACGTGGCATATTCATAATATGATGGATGAGATTTTAATTCATTATTTTCAATAACAGTTGTCGAGTTCACTTCATTTTACCTGCATGATAATGGAAATGAGTACCTAAATTAACAAAATTGTAGCAGTAATGCTATTTAGCACAATGATGTTATATGTACAAACAGGAAATCATCCTCATGTGATGTGACAAATGATATGTTATGAAATGATAAAATTAGCTAAATATATAAATATGAGATCGATTTTATTGTTTTTATCATTTAATGACATATAATATAGTAATCATCTCTAATGAAGATAAATGACACTCCTCAAGTCTCTTTCCACTTTTAATTGAGAAAGCCAATTATATTATATAGACTGATGTTGTAGCATCAATGATGTCAAATATCATTACTCTAATTGTATTGTGCATGTAAACCAAGTAAAGTTTTCTTGTCAAAGTTTCAATTTTTGGACGTAGTTAATGACACTTGGTTCAAGTTTGAAATGTATTGATATAACAATACTTCTCGTTCATAGGCACGATTCGAGCTTAAGTCGTGTCTGGCCAACCAGTCAGACTAGTTTTGGGCTGGGATTGGACGGCTCGACTTACTTCTACATCTTGAATGCAATCGAAGCTCAAGTCTTTGGCATGTGAAAATCAACGGCAAGAGCAACCTTTCAAACACTTAAAATCTTGGATATTGAAATATGGAATGTGTTTCGAATATGTAGAAAAGAAACATAATTAGCTTTAAAGCACCAAATCAACTTGAGGTAATCAACTGACGTGACATTTTAAATTGTTTTATGTTGTTTCAGAGCATATTTGATATGTAGAAATGTCTGTCATCTTATATAGTATGATCCAATACTACTTAACATGCAATATCCTTTTGAAATGTAAACAATATTCAACTATGTTACTGACATCTTATTTAAGAGGCATATCCTAAGTCGTATATAAAGATAATATAATTTCAATCGAACAAAAGCCGTTACAACTAGTTGGTTCTCATTCATCGTGTCAATGGATCCCTCACAATTATCTCATATCAATGACATCCTTATTGCCATACTAACTTCGAGGGCGTATATGGAATACAGTATACACTAGAGTATTGTAATTTTGTCAAACCTCGCCTCTCCTTAACTAACAAATAAGTCATAATACAGCAGAAAAATAAAGGAAAATGAAATGTGACACATGAAAGGTGAGCACAAGATGACACAATAATTTCTCAAAATCTTAATTGTTAATATAGTAGATAGCTTATTCAGAGGGCTCTTTAATGGGCTTCCCACTTTCTTTTAGCTTGGCAATGGATTCTTTCATGGCCTCCTTTCTCTTTTTGCTGGCCAAAATTTTTGCAGTTAAACCACTAACATTTGGGTCCTTTTTCTCTTGTGGGGGTCGTGGTGGTGGCCTTTTAGCTGCACCCCTAGCATCCCTAGCACCACCATTCATAACCAAAGCTACACCAGTCAAGCCCAGTAATACGCCCCTGCATTGCACACTTCACACGATTACAACCAGCTAAATAACAAACTCCACATGCTTATGCGTGTACGAGACTATATGAAATTCAAAGAGATCAAATAAGAAATGATACTCTGAATTACTTAACTGTATGGAATATACAATATACTAAAAATGGCATCTATGTGCTTATCTGAATTACATAACTGTATGAAATATACAATATACTAAAAATGGCATGTATGTGCTTTTGTGAAGGCATCAATGTACACTCATGCCCGTGTTCATGTATGAATGTACATGGCTCAATTGTAGAATGATGTGTACACAAGGGCATCATCAAGGAACTTACCTGCGTCTAACTTGTTTTTCTTCTGGGACTTCATCGAAACCACGACTATATGCCCATACCAAAGGAGTCGTCTTCCTCGATATCAAAGGGACTGGTTTTGCTGTGGATGGTACTGCAGGGACTAATAAATGGTTCATCATTGCCATATCACTTGTTCTTATTGTTTAATTTTCGAATGAATTGACATTTTTAAGTGACCCAAAACACATAATATATGGATAGCGTTCACCTCTTTAGAATTAAGTTGAAGATTTCATTGGCTGTTTCTTGATAAGGTCTCAATTTTGTAGACCCTACCCATATATAGCAAACATGTGAATCCCAACATTTATCCACAGCTTTTCAAGAAACTTTGGTATATTCGCATAGAAGCCATTATATAGTTATAAGCAGCGTCCTGAATCTACTCTTATGCCTATTTTGTCGAACTTAAAAGAGGTACTTTTGTCAAAAAAATAATTCTTGGCTTATACAAAATAAATTATTTATACAACAGTTTTGACCTAAGAAAAGTAACTATTTTAACACAAATGGCCCCATTTGGTACACATTAAAGTAAAAATGAGAATGAAAAATATAACCGTTACGGACTCCACACAAGAGATAGAAAATCAAATATGGTGACTTGATATGATGGATAACGATAATATTTTTCATTTTAATGAGTAAATAATGGGAAACAAACGGGGTTATTGAGTTGAAAGAAATTGGGAAATTTGAGAATATAAAAAGCCATTGTACTGGACAGAAGAAAACTCAAGGGAATAAACTAAAGCTTGTCAATTGGCATACTACTAGGAAAAACCATATTAGCAGCAAAAATGACTAATAAATTATGTAAATAGAATTTCATGTCAAAATTCCAACTACATTTTTTTCGACTAAAAAAGGCCAACAAAGCTGCAAAAAAATGGTAAAACAGGAAAGAATCAACTAAAACGATGGTTTTACTTGTGGAAAACAAAATCTCTAAAGAAATTATGCTCTAGAACTTTCACTTGTCATCGTCATCTTCATGTCCGGCAGCAGCGTTGAGAGCATTCAATCGTTCAATCAAACGGGCGGCCTTCCTCACTACGTAGGTGAGCTTCTTCAAGTTGTATCTGGGCAACAAAACACGAATAATTTCACATACGTCAATAAGGAAATAATAGACACGAACAGGGCAACTGACATTTGTGCATAAGAATCATTGCAGATAGAAGAATTCAAGACAATTTTGAAAGAAATGGGTTAAATTAAAGCATATAAATATTTCCAAACCTCTTTTGTTCCTTGGGTGGACGTTTCTCAGATTTCTTCAGGGTTGAGTGATGACTGATTTACACTCATTATATTATGCCATTAATTTCATGATTTTGCTAGCTTAGAGAGTATTTTAGAAGTGATAACAAGTGATTTTGGTATTGTTTTTTAAATTGATGGAAGTGGAGAAAACAATAGCTAAAAGAGGTCAAAGGAAGGAAATAGGCAAAAGCTAGCGAAATTGGATGAAATAATCTGAGAGTTCTAAAAGCCAATTAGATGAAGGAAGGTGTCAAAGGGATCAAATTTAGTCAAGATATGATCATAAATCATTTTCCAACCGAAAAGTTTTGCACCGAGTTTTTAGCCTCATATTGAGACTCATTTTTTGACATAGCAAACGATCGAATTGGAGAATGATATTTGAATCAAAGTTGTAGCCCTTTGAGTTACCTTTCCAACGCATCTTGAATCGCCTCATTCGAATATCGATAGAAAGAATTATGATAAAAATACTTAAGGCTATGTAGTGCAACCGAAGTAGTTCTCAGCGTCTAAGCGCCATGATGCTGAAATTTTGACAGAAAGTCAACGCCTAGGCGCTGAAGACGTAGCACCCAGGTGCTATCATAGCGCTTAGGCGCTGCGATTGAATATCTAGGGCGCGTTTTTTGGGCCGTTTTTAAATCCATAAAAACCCTACTTCTATATAAAACGAGGGGGGCACCTAAAAATACAGCTTGCTGATACTTTTGAAGGGTTCTTGACATATTGAGAGAAGACAACAGGAAGGGAGATTCAAAAGAGAAATTCAAGAAGATTAACACCAAGCAATTGAAGATTAGAAACATTCATTGGAAAAGGAAAGAGATTTTGGTGTAAGAATTCTACTTTTTCTTCTACATCTTTATTACAAACTCGGTGATGTATTCTAAGACAAATTCCTACTTTTCTTTTTGTATTATAAGTAGCTAAATTCATTGTTAGGGGGAATAATGTAACCAATTGAGATCTTTTACGTTCTCTTATTAAGACTTTCAGTTTTTAATTCTTCCATGTGTTGATTTTGTTATGAGTTGATTGCATAAAATTATCTGATCAATAACTTGATATTTTTGTGAATTCTTTACAAATAGAGATATGAGTTTAGGATTTAGACCATGTAGTAAAATTCAATACATTGGTATAACGAGTAAAGATGCCTATACCAATTATTGCGGTCATAATTGAATTCCTAGGACATAGAACTCGTTTAACTAAGTTGAATTTGTATAGAGACATGAAATTCAATTAGTTAAATAGATTCAATGAGAACTCGAGAGGGATAAATTGAATACAATAGGAGAATTCGACAAAACACTACATTAGAATTGAGTTTTAATTTGAGATATAAATGTGATCAATTGGTGAAGTTATTCTACCCTAACATCCATTCATTATTTGATTCTCCAACCAATCGTGTGAACATTCATTTATTTTCTAGAATTTAGATTAAAACCCAGATTTTACAATCTTTAATGTCAAATAGTAGTTAAAGAAAAATTGAATTAAGTGCTAGAAAATAGTCCTTGTGGGATCGACAATTCGGACTCTTAGGTCCACTATTACTTGTTACGGGTCGTACACTTGCAAAATAAAATTTTACAAGAAGTTTTTGTGGATTGGCAGCGTGATCAGGTAGGAGAGGCGGCTGAGGAAATGTTCGATCGGAGTAAATCGAAGCCAATACCGCATTGAACTCATGTTGATAATGGAATTGCTCGCACAATATATTTTGCATCAAATTCATTTGCAATTGCATGTCATGAAGCTGAGCGGCAAGGTCAGAAGTGGGATCACTAGCTGGTGTCGGTCGGCGTGAACGGGGCGGCTGGTCGCTCCGAGGAGGGGGTAGAGCACTGGTGGATTCGGAGTGACGTAAGAACTTCCAAGTACGCGCTTGTGTGATAGCCGGTTTGGGGTGCACAACCTCCTCAGTCCGGTATTTGACAACACCACCAGCTAAACAAAACTCATAAATCAACGATGGATGCCCTAGACCACCTGTCGTCGACCCTCTCAAAGTGTGTAAGATATTGTTGTGAATAACTTTACCAACATCAATTGATAGGCGACATTGAATGGCATAATTGAGGGTAGCCCGTTCTTTTATTACTTCGCTTAAATTGCTACTGGGAATAAGTTTGTCAGAAATGAAGTGATGCCAAGCCTTACAACCCGAAGTCATACCAGAAGCAGGGAAGTTAATGACATCAGTCTCCGAACGTTTCCATGTAGTACCAGCTATGGCCAAGACTCGAATGACCTCATCAAGATCAACACTCTCGTCACGAAGTCTAGAGTACTCGTCATTTTCAATATCTTGCAAATGATAAAACCTGTTGATGGAGGTTCTATCAAACAGTATCCATTTACCCCGCACAAATACTCAAAAATCTCGAAGCTCCTTCGCATTGGCGTAGAACTCCCTAACAGCCGGAATTAGCGCCGGTCGTGGTTGCCGAGCAAACACTTCCCAGTTCCGCCGACCTATCTGCTCTGTCATATAATTGTCAAAACCACGTTCAGGGATACAGGTCTTGTGTAACACCAAGCTATTATATCGTTCAGCGGCCTCAGCACTAATGAATTTGCTCCTGTCAAATGAGCTAAAAGAGGAGACTGCGGCTTTAGATCTCTTTTTAGGCGGCATTGGACCTGTGCAAGAGTAGAACAAGCAAACCATTAGCAAAAACAGCAATAAAGGAAGATAAGGCAGGGTTTAAAATCTAGCCATAAGAGGGAAATATGGTGGAACGTGCAATAGATGTATTCTAAACCCAATTTCAATTCACGATCATCTACATGGCAATGAGCACGATAGCCAAAATAGCTTCTTTGTACCCAACTAAGTTCACCTGGGCAATCCATCAAACACTTTGAAGGCACCAAATTTCCACCAAAAATTGCCCATAATTTTGGGAGTAATTCATGCCACATTATTCGCACTATATACAAATTTCTTGACACCACACACAAAGCAAGCCCTCCTCTTAACATAATTATCAAAAATAGGCACAAAAAAGCAACAACTATCATGTAAGAGAGGAGAAAAAATAGGGAGCAAAAAATAGTCATACCTGGAATGGTGCTGTGGAAACTAATAGGAATGGATGAGTTCACACTTAGCAACAATGAAATGTTGAAAACAAGAAGGGGGATTGGGAGGGAGGGCGAGAATATGTGATTGAAAGAATTGTGATGTGGTTGAGGTGATGAAATAAATTCAACCAAAAACAAAACTAAATAAGGAAAGAGATGGGAAGAGTGTACCTTGGAAGGATTGAGGAGGAGATGAAAATGGGTAAACTTAAGGGGTTTAGGGAAGAAGATGAGAGGGAAGAGGGGTTGGGAAATCTCGTATTGTGAGGAGGGAGAGGGGTTGAGGTTATATGCAGCGCCTGGGCGCTGCGTCTGCCGAGTTCAGCAGGGCGCTGATTTCTTAACCCCCCCCCCACCACCACATTTTTATTTAATTTTTTTTCACTTCTTTTTTATTTCGCCCTGCTGAACTCGACAGACGCAGCGCCCAGGCGCTGCATATAACCTCAACCCCTCTCCCTCCTCACAATACGAGACTTCCCAACCCCTCTTCCCTCTCATCTTCTTCCCCAAACCCCTTAAGTTTACCCCTTTTCATCTCCTTCTCAATCCTTCCAAGGTACACTCTTCCCCTCTCTTTTCTTATTTAGTTTTGTTTTTGGTTAAATTTATTTTATATCCTCACCCACATCACAATTCTTTCAATTACACATATTCTCGCCCCCCCTCCCCAATCCCTCTTCTTGTTTTCAACATTTCATTGTTGTTAAGTGTGAACTCATCCATTCCTATTAGTTTCCACAATACCATTCCAGGTGTGGCTATTTTTTGCTCCCTATTTTTTCTCCTCTCTTACA